ACAATGCTGTCCATAGCTTATTTTGGTTCAATTATATTATGGGCAGTTTAATGTACAACATTTTTGTCACATTAGGGGCAACATATTAGCTTTTATGTGCATTTTGCTGGCATAGTTCTGTACTGCTTATGAACATCTATATGTGAACATTTAAGTAAAAAAACATGTATTACTGTGAAACTGTGGTTTATTATCTTCTTTATTTGTCCATAGTGCAGAACTTATAAGAAGTCTGCAGAATTCCTAAATCTAACGCCCTCTAGTGTCACTGAAAGCTGGTACTGGCTGTCCCTTTTGCAGAAGAGTGGAAACAGTAATTGCATTTAAAATCAATATATATAATTATAATCAAAGCTTTTTTTTTTAAAAGTTGATATTATCTTGTTCTACTGCAACCTCAAAGTCTTCCACTCTGTACTGAAACTCTGACTTTTTATAAGGGTAAAAAAATTGAGCAGTTTCCATTTTGAGGCAATAGGGACACCATGTGGAAAGCATCTGCTATTCCAATAAAATGAACCACCACTGGTCCAAGAGGAAAACACCTGAGGGAGCTCGACAAAGATAATCTAATCTGAGGTCCAGGTACAACAGAGTCTGTGGGTAGACCGGTTCACACCACTGATCCACATAAGAAGCAGCTTTAGATCAGACTGCTCCATTTGGATCAGACGCTGTGGGAATATGAATATGTGACACACAGCAAAGATCTATTGATGGCCATGAGAATAATAATTACAAAAGTGATGACTTATGAGGAAATTGCTGAATGATCTTTGAATCTATACACAGAAAGGTTTGATGTTGAACAATCGCTAACGGAGCCAGCGAGAAATGCCAAGCGGAAATTTCTGGAGCTTAATGAAGAAATCCTAAAAGGTCACTTACACAGATGATGGCATTCACATTATACATTTTATCATCTGATGCCTTTAATAAGATGGTGCAGATGTCTTGATTTTCTACTGAACAGAACATTATCAGTATCAGTATCTTGACTTTTTAACCACAAGTTAATTAGTGTTTTATACATACTGAATGTTAATATATATGAGCATGATCAGAACACATAATTCCAATATGCCTCTAATATTTATTCCTTGTAGTTCTCTCTCTTTCACAGTTGAAGCATCTCGTACTGCCACGACTGGATTGCCGCCACAGTTTCATTCATGAAAGCTTTCTGTGTCAATAGTGGAAAAGAACCAGCTCAATCCAATTAGCACCATTAAAGAGACGCCATGAAAAGAATCTGGGACTATGTGTAAAAACCTCAGGGATTAGAGACCTGCTGTCCCCATGCGACTTAGGTCATGGTGAGGAGGAGCTGCCCTTGGTTCTGAAAACTGTGTTACACGTACAGCTGTACAAACTGGTGTTTTTAGTGAATAGACAGTATATACACATTATACACATTTTTCAACATAGTTTTCTCACCAGTAATAAAACGACAATATAAAATGACATCATTAACTTGCACAAATTAATGAGGATTTAATGATTTGCTGGTTTCAAAGAATTTGGCTGTCATAGATAATATAAATACTATAGATAAAGAGTGTAGTTAATTTAATAAAGTTAAAGGACCAGTGTGTAGAATTTAGTGGCATCTAGTAGTGAAGTTGCAGATGACAAGCATTTGAATACCACTCGACCCCCTATCTAGAGCCAGTGTTTGGTTTGTCTGTTCTGGGCTACTGTAGAAACATAGCGGTATCAGTAGAGCAGGACCTGCTTCTTCTGTAGATAAAAACGTCTCATTCTAAGGTAAAAACGCGTTCTTATATTCAGGTGATTATACACTAATGAAAACATATCTATGGTTATTATATTCAATTTCTGCCAACAGATCCTCCCCAATGTTACACACTGGACCTTCAAAGCATATGATATAAAATAAAAAATATAAATAAAAATATATATATCAAATGTCAGAAAATTATGAAAATGGACCATTTCAAATTCCCAGGATCTGAGGTGAAATTTCCTTTTCAGGATATATTATATACAGTGATATAAAACAGAGATAACGAGCAAATTGTGACATTTATTTACCTTTTTGCATAATAAACACCTTAAACAACTCATCTGTTATCAAAATTGCTGCTGATTAATTTCCTGGCAACGTACTCATCATTTCAGCTCCAGTCTGTGTTAATATAAGGAATGCCATAAAACATTATCTTCCCGTTTACCTCCCTAAATGTAGCGGGACAAACTACAGTATTTGCAATATATAACACTGAAATCTGCCATCAGAATAAAAAAGGTTACTTACAATTTCAATATATCATATATTAACTACATCAGTATAATGTAGATACATAATATAGTCTTTTAGAGCAAACTATGTCCTCGGCTGGAGACATTAAACAAGAAAACTTGTGAATTCACAGCGTGTTATTTTGGTCTTTCAGGCTGAGTTTTATTGTGTAATTGTCTTGTACCGTTTCTTAATCAGATGTACTCAGCCTAGATCTTTGATTAATCTTTTCTGTCTCTGTACAGCTCTACTGTCTTACCTCATCTGAGGGAACGAACAGTACGTCAAAAACAGTTCAGACTGTCCAGGCTTGGATAGTGACTCATTCTGGCAGCTCCTCTGGTATCAATTACAGCCCGTAATCAATGGAAAAACTAACTAGCTGCCAAATATCAGTCAGTTCTAATTTGCTTCAAATCATGTGCACCTTGTTTCTTAATGTCTTATAATACTGAGCTATTTCTTTTAGTTAACGAAACTACCACGTTTTGCCTTTATTATTTATTTTGAGATACTAAAAAAAGTGTAAAATGTAGAGAGCTTATTATTAATAATAGACTTTTCATTTCTGATATGAAGAGGAACAGCACTGAAACCAACACATGAAGGCACATGGAAATGATCCTGCCTACCTGCGTCCCTCTCGCCTGTCGTGCCCTTTCCTAATTATATGTTTACCCACCAGTTGTTGAATGTTTGCAAGCTTCTGTCCCACAAACAACTCCATCCATTCACTATGAAACAATGGCAGGGTGATCTAATAGAATTAAAGTAGACAGTCTCACGCTGAAATAGATCACCACCTTAGTCCTCTGCAACCTCGAGGCTAACTATTTTTAATCCCATTGACGCAGTTGGAGACCAGGCTACTTAGAGGGATTAGTTGAGGAGCCCGGTGAGTTTATAAATGGACGTAAAGGAAGGGATCAGGTAAGGAATCAGACAGAACACAAGAAGATCCAGCACTACAGCTCGTTGGTCAGATCCAGACACCTCCTGCTGAGGCTGCAGCACACCCAACGACTAACTGAGACCAAGACCAGCTTGTGGACTTTGCCTTCAGTGTCAACGCGTCCAAGCAACATAACCATGGAGTCTGTGGCCCAGACAGTGACCGCCACCGCTGCCTTGGACAGAGAATCTTTCCACAGGAGAGCCATGAGAGCAACCCCCAGAGGAGCATCGTCTCATTTTGTGGGGAGCTCGATTATGATCCTCTCCTCGTTCGCGGTCTCCACTTTGGCTATGAACTGTGGGAAGAAGATCCAGGAGTCTAGAAACAAACCCAACATGAACTAGCAAAAATGGACAGATGGATACGCTTTTATTTTTTTAGTTCACCTTTGTTAAGTTGGGCAAGTCAATGAAATATATATTTTTCTGATCATGTGCTGTACACCCCTTCTTAGCTGCCTTTTGTGTTCCTGTGGGAAAATGTGGAAGTTTCTTGTGTGTTAAAGTGTGAAAAGCCTGAAAATAAACCCCGAAGAGTCCGAAGAGGATGAAGCTCTCAGGGGACGTGAGACAGATCAACAACAAGAGAACACCGATGTGATTTCTGAGGACAAGTAATTGGCAACTATCTCGAGATCCATCCATGGGACGCCAAACATGCTTTGTTGGGTTATTACAGTTTAAAGTGTTGTATTTTAAGTGGGGAACAGTATGCAGTAATACCATAAAACCTCATACTCCTTTTTACCTCATACTTGTAGTGAGTAGTCTCAGCATGTGTGATTGTAACACTGAAAATAACAGAAAAGAAGGAAATCCTTTAAAAGGTTTTAGTTCAAAGTGATGTCTGTTGGTGGTTCAGGGACAGTTATTTAAATATGACCTCTTCTTGTCAAGTATACATCAACTCTGTAAAGACAGAGAATAGTGAAGATAAACCTTTATTTAAAAGAAAAGCAGCTGGGTATTGAACCTCAATAAGCTTTGTGTTGAAAACCGTCATGTAGTCTAAGCTCACTCAAATTTACTCTTAATTTTTTGATGAGACAGTTTCTGATTTTTATCATAATTTGTGTTTTACTTAGAAAATGCTCTTGTATGGTTTTTGATTTCAGAAAAAAATCAAACAATTTTATTTTTTGCTTGTTTTTAAATTATAAGTCGTGGTCTTTAACAATGTGATTGCTGTACATAAAGAGACTATGATTTCATATGTGGAAGAAACTGTGCTAAGTGGTTTTCATTCTGTGGCCATTTTGCGGCATTTGTTCACGTCAGCCGTCAGAACGTGGTCATGGCTGTGTTGTGGCTCATAAAGGTTTATGTGAAACACCGACAATGCTTTTCAAACCTCTGGTGTATTTTGTCTTGTCACCACCAGCGGGCAGTATTGGCATTAAAGATTGCAACCCTTTCCAACAATGTCTTTTTGATTCTTTCACGGGTATGGTGTAGAATTTTAAAACAAAGTCTCTTCAGGAGCAAAACAGGAGTTTTAAACATTATTTTTATGTATAAAAAAACAGGTACAAATAGGACAAATAAAGCCAGATATTCATTTAGGTCTGCATTGGTGATACAAATGTCACACATCTGCAATTTTTCATCCAAGTCCATCCACATGCTGTGTATGAAAATATCACAGAGTTGGTGGTTTCTTTTGTGTGTGTGTGTGTG